GGGGTATCAGGGATTCGAACCCACATATATTGTTCCTGGCACATCCAAGGGAGGTAACTCTGCATGGTGAAATGCCATTTTAGTAAACACTAGGCCACTCTCATACAAAGAACTTCTGAACTTCAAGACAACCTATGAATGACTATCTTACCATGTGCACTCCCTGCTACTTCCAGCATCATAGCTTGTGTCAGCATCCCATCGTTACATCCAACACAAAGACTATATATCAAAGGTTCAAATTACCAAGCCATATGGCATCCCAACACGGATATATACTTCCAGTGAAATAGACATCAGAGTCAGCTGTAATGTCCATTATGACGATGCTATACACAACCATTCAGCCGTCGTCAATTACTTCACTATCATGACCACTTTAATGACCAATCAGGCGACCAGTGGAACGATTTACGTCCCATCTCCTTGGAAAAAATTGGATCGGGATAAGAAAATTAATTATTGATAGATCATCTGAATGATCAGAGGTTGGAGTCACTTAGACAGCTGATTTGAAGGGTTTGTTACACGACCGTGGTTCTGAAAGCCATCGATACAAGGCCAGTTGGCTACTTATCTTCTGTGATTAATCTACATAGATGTGCATTTGATTTTATCTTCTGAGACCGTGTCCAAGATCAAGTCTGGGTAAGGTTTTAATTCCAAAACCTTCCTTTTCCTCTCAAACTGATGAATATTTCACAGGGGTTTTATTTGTGGTACAAATTGAATCTATTGATCAAGCATACATAAGGCATAAAAAAGCAATTGTCTGAAACTGCTAAAAAGCACATTCAGTGCTCTGAAATAGCAGGATCTTGCGATAAATTTGTCGCAGAAGATTGCATCCTTTGTCATGAATATATATGATGAAACTTTCACTTTCAAGTGAAAAAAATATTCTTGTGTGCTGGAATTTGAAACAAATGTGTTGATTGTGTCTTCATATCTTGATATTGAAGTAAATCTTATAAACTGACACAGGTAGGTTGTTTTTTTATGCCGCACTCAGCAATATTCCAGCTCTATGGCGGCGGTCTGTAAATAATAATGATAACTGACACTGGAATAACAAGAAGTATGTGCATGCTGTGTTATGCTACATTCAGGAATTTTCCAGCAGTACCAGAGCACTGTTAACTTGCATACTATGTTATACTCTTAAATTAGGTGGACCGCCTCCGTGGTGTAGTGGTTAGAGCGTCTGCCCGGAGAGTGGAAGGTCGCGGGTTCGATCCCCAACGCGTCATACCAAAAGACGTTAAAATATGGTACTTGTTGGTCCCTGCCTGACGCTTGGCATTAACAAGGACTGGTCGGCTCGGAGTCAGTATAATGTGTCTGAGTGGGGTATTCATGCTTCACTGTGGCATGGTATCTCAGTGGGCTAGCACTATAAAACCAGCTTAAGTCTGGGCTAGTACAAGCAGCCGCGCATACACATACACACACATGCACGTCGTCATATGAGCGAAATATTCTCAAGTACGACGTAAAACCCAATTTCACCTCACCTCACCTTAAATTAGGTTTGGTTTGGTTGTTGTTTAACACCGCACTCAGCACTATTCCAGGTATATGGCGGCGGTCTGTCAATAATCGAGACCAGACAATCCAGTGATCAACAGCATGAGCATCGATCTATGCAATTGGGATACGATAACATCTGTCAACCAAGTCAGCAAGCCTGACCACCCGATCTTGTCAGCCACCTCTTATGACAAGCATGGGTTGCTGAAGATCAGTTCTAACCTGGATCTTCATGGGTCCTTTAATTAGGAGTAGGCTCCACAAACCAGGTGATGATAGGATGTGCATTGATACCCACATAGAATGTTGAAGCTTACAGAACCAACACATGAACGTTCATTATTTTGGACATAGCAAAGTTAAACTTGAAAAAATTCCCCCAAAACAAACAAACTAAAAAAATCCAAAACAAAAGGTGATACTAAGATCAGACTTTGACCAGGAATCATTACTGTTATGTATGACTAACATGTTTCTCAGACAGTTTGTAAAGAATGTCAGGAATTGCAATAATATTTTGTCACGACACCTTAATGTTTGTTTGTTTGTTTAACTACATACTTAACAGTTTTAAGCTGTTTGACTATGGTCTATAAATAACCCTACTGATCCAGTGGCTGACATCATGAGCATCAAACTATGCAATTGGGATGCGATGACATTCATCAACCAGGTCAGAGAGTCTGATCACTAGTGGTGGTCCGATTAATTGAAATAATCGAAGATTGGTCGTAGTGACTAAACGACCAAGCAATCGATCATAATTTCTCATAATCAAACACAAACAATTCTGGAACACTTGTTTTCATTCACAATATTTTTCACATGTTTGGTTTTGTCTGTTACATTTCGTAAGTCCTGCAATCTCGTTTCAAGTCATGATTGAATTTATCTTAAAGATTCCAAGAAATGTATGTTCCCAACATACTAGTCATCCTTTAAAGATGTGAAATTTTGCCCCAAAAACAACTAAAACAACTACCTACATGTTTTTTTCCTTATTTTTATGTGCATTAACAAATTTCATAAATGACGCTAACCAATTATTTTCGATGATTGATCGGTAGTAATGAACCAATCATCAGTTATGAGATTTGAACCAATTCCCAACACTACTGATCACCAATCACCTCCTATGATAAGCTTTTGTTGCTGAAAGCCAACTTGAACCTTGATCATCACAGATCACACATGTAATATTATAAAAGGTTTAGGAATTGTCACCAAACATTTGACGGCTTAACATGTAACATTGCACTTACATTGATCAACATTACTGGAGAAACCAACATAAAATTCACATGAATGTGTTGTCAAACATTTGATGTGACATAGTATTGATCAAACATTCCTTTTGTCCACAGCATATGCATATCATCTGATTTCTCTTCCACAGGCTCATCACACAGTTAAAAGCAATGTCTCATTCTACAGACATGAGGTCAGCTTGTTGATGTCAATAGGGGGATTGCAAATAAAGTCAACAAACAGTCCTTTGATGGAAATGGAGAAACTGTTGTTTATATCAGCTATTTTATTGCATCCTTTGAAGTGATGCAGCATGGATGACTGATTGCATGCAATGAGCATGCTGTAGCAGTTGCAGGACGCCAAAGGAGTGGTTGATATCACAAATACATGTACTGTTTTAAGTGACTGGGTGCAAGTAGCAATTACCAATCAAGGTGTGTCCACCTGCCGTGTGTGTTTACTGGCAACACACCATGGTATTACTTTATTGGTGCTTGTGGTCTTGTTGTAAAGGATATCAATGTGTAATTGACATGGTTCCTGCTGTATGGATGACAGTAAGACTTTGTTTGAAAAATGGCAAATTAATAATGTCAATAAAGGCAAATTGTGTTAATGGCAAGAGTTACCAGTAGGGGACCGCCTCCGTGGTGTAGTGGTTAGAGCGTCCGCCCAGAGAGCGGAAGGTCGCGGGTTTGATCCCCGACCGCGTCATACCAAAAGACGTTAAAATATGGTACTTGTTGCTCCCTGCCTGGCGCTTGGCATTAATGGCTACAACAAGGACTGGTTGGCTCGGAGTCAGTATAATGTGTCTGAGTGGGGTATTCATGCTTCACTGCGGCATGGTATCTCAGTGTGCTAGCACTATAAAACCAGCTTCAGTCTGGGCTAGTACAAGCAGCCGCACATACACATACACATGCATGCACGTCGTCATATGAGCGAAATATTCTCAAGCATGACATAAAACCCAATTTCACCTCACCTACCAGTAGGGCTGGACATGCTTTCCCTATTTGTAGACACCTGGTGTCATTACTGATGTTCAGTGGCCAATTCCCATGATTTTCACATCTATTTGTTCTTTATTCCCAATGGACTCTATTTCTGAGTATAGTCAAAACTAGGTATATTTAATAAGAAAGCCTTCATGAATTTATCCTTGAATATTGACAACATGGGTGTATCGATATTCATAATTACTTCATTTCAAATGAACAATGTGAAATCTGTATATTTATTATATTCAGTGTGAAATTCATTTGATTCCATGTGAAATTGAGTTGGTTCTGCGTGAAAACACTTTCCTGAAAGAGAATAAGATCCATGGTCTTCTGTTCATCTTGAATAATACTATAGTGAGTGAGTGAATTTAGCTTTATGCAGCACTCAGCAGTATTCCAGCTTTATGGCGGCGGTCTGTAAATAATCAAGTCTGGACCAGACAATCGAGTGATCAACAACATGACCATCGATCTACGCAATTGGGAACCGATGACATGTGTCAACCAAGTCAGCGAGCCTGACCTCCAGATCCCGTTAGTGGCCTCTTAACAAAAGCATGGGTTACTGAAGATCAATTCTAACCCGCATCTTCCTGGGTTGAAAAGTACTATAACCTACTGGAAAATCTTAATTAAATAGTGTTAAGAGACTTTTTAAAATCAATATTGAAATAATCCTTGAGGAGATACAGGCATATAAAAATTAATGATGTACTTTGAAGATTGAATTAAGTAATAACAGATAAACATAATATATTGTAGAGAGATTTGAACACCTGAAGAGCAATATGTATGCATGATAAAGAGTCCCTGGGAATGCTCCCCAGGGAGTTGAGATTGACAATATGGTGTGCCGATAAGATTGACATCCAGTGAATGAGGGCCTTTGAGCAGAGCTGGATTTCAGCCCTATACAAATGTATGTATGTATGTATGTATGTATGTATGTATGTATGTGTATGTGTATGTGTATGTGTATGTGTATGTATGTATGTATGTATGTGTATGTACTTTGTTGACGATTTCATCAACTTGTGATCATGTTTGGACACAAATTGAATATCTTTCTATCGCTATTTCAAAACAGGTGAAACTGCACATTTCAACCAATGCTGTGGAGAAACTATATTTCCGCGAAGCATGGTACTGAACTTGTGCGTTGCTACGGTGATGCAGTAACGTTAGTTTCGTGGAATAAAAGCTAATACTTACCAAAATCGGCGCTTGGATCAGAGACCGTCATGCTTGTCGGTTGTCTAGAACACAAGATCTATTCACAAGTCCTGAATAACATATCCCAACGTGCGTCCCCGACACGTCACTTCCACGAAATACACGTCTTGCACGTGCTACTGTTTACGTGTTGATTTCAGTCGAGTTCCGCACCACTTGTCCCGGAAATACCCCGGCCTTCAACGTGGGACCGACAGCGTTGAGGTAGTTGAGTCATGACATTCTGAAACAATAAAACAGATACATCAACCTTCTCGTGTTTCTTACACCTATCAATCGGGTAATGGATATGTTCATTAAGGGAGGGCTGTATCTCAGCGTGTGTTATTTGAACACTGTTTGTTATTTTCGTATCTGAGGTACAGTCATATCCCCTTTCGGTTCTCTCGGGAATACGGGTGGATGATATACCGTTGCTATTTATAGATGGGTGGAGTGTATATTACACTTTGAACCGATACGTTGTTGAGGATTACCCTTGAGTGTTTATCTCACTAAGTTCTCATCTAAGATAATCTGCTGTATAAATATAATAGGCCTACGCATTTGAGAGACCTTCCTACCATATTACGTGAACGTAAATATCTGTCTTTTTTGTTAATAAAAACAGCGTATTTTTGAGGACCATAAGAATCTAGGCGGGCCGAAACGCTATTTTTAACTTTGTTTGTTTGTTGGTTGGTTAACGCCACGCTCAGCAATATTCCAGCTAAATGGGGACGGTCTGTCAACAATCCAGTTTTGAACAGGCAATCCAGTGATCAACAGCATGAGCATCGATCTGCGCAATGTGGATACAATGACACGTATCAGCCAAGTCAGCGAGCCTGACCACCCGATCCCGTTAGTCGTTCTTAGGACAAGCATGGGTCGCTGAAGACCAATTCTAACCCGGATTTTAACGGTCTCGAACGCTGGACCGACTAACCCTCCTGTACTCTGTGTCTGCTGGAGGATCAACGAGGATGGGGTCGTCATCATGTTATCAACCACCTGTTTGCCTGACCGCAACTGTTTTAGAGTGAGTGTGGTTTTACGCCGCTTTTAGCAACATTCAAGCAATATCATGGCGGGGGACACCAGAAATGGGCGTCACACATTGTACCCATGTAGAGAATCGAACCCAGGTCTACTCCACCGCCGCGCTTTAACCACTAGGCTAGCCCACCGCCCCGCAACTGTTTAAGAAAAAATATCTTCCCCTGACATTTCTACCCCTTCTTCAGCACCCATCCACAATATAATCGTAATTGTACATGCTGCTTGATCGGAAACAAAACTGTGGGGTCCCACAGCGGGTATGCCTTGGAGCGCTGATTGATAGGATATTCCGTTTCCACATTTTATTTTGATTTTATTTGGAAAATAAACAAATTGTTACATTTGAACCTTCTTTGTTACAGTTGCCCCATCCACCTGTTACAATTGCCCCGTGCTAGGGGTCAATTGTAACACTTGTAGTCATTGCATTTGATACGTAATAACTTTGTAAATACATGATAGTGAACTTGAAACGACACTGAGGTTTAAAGCCAAGAAGCCAATGTACTAGTTAGTACCGATTAACTTTGTGAGCGGTCGTCTGGGATCGAACTACAAGAAGTTAAGTAAAAAGTGTTACAATTGACCCCGGTCTCCCCTACGCACGCACGCATGCACGCACGCAGAGACAAATCCGCACCATACGTTCTCTCACCCGACTCAGTTTCCATCCCCAGACTATTTAATGGTCGCTCCCTTTAAAGAACAAAACCTGCCACCACCCACCTAACCACCCCCTTTCGCACAAACATCCCACCCGACCCAGTTCTCGCCCCCCAAAACCTCAACACACAACCACAACACTGTAAATATGGGGCAGTCTCTTTTACGTGCCTCAAGCCGCTCTCACAGTCGCTCTCAAGGCGTGCCGATAAACTGACAAATTATTAATTCTTCTGTGATAAATTACGTCGACCGTGCCTATATGACGTGACCACGAGAACGTCACACGCCCGAGTCTCAGAACGTGTTTTGTGTGGACAATTAAAGCAAGCTTTTTCAGTTACACCTCAAATGAAGAGGTGCCGTGGGTTCACTCTCCATTAGCCAGAGTCTGACCAAAAAAAGTCTTGTTGAGACAACATTGCACTATGGTTAAGTGAGAGGACATCGTGCCATGTCCGAACTTTTCTATGACCATAAATCTTTTCAATCCACCGGAGATTAAACTTGACAGCTCGTATTACGTAATATGTTTACAGACAAGTCGTCCAAAACGAGAACAATGAAACGCCCCGTTAATACGGACGGGGATGTTCACAGTACAAATAACCCTCAATAATCTGAATTACGTTTTGGACTGTACATGAGCCATATGTCCCATTAGGGGCGGCGGGGAAGCCTAATGGGTAAAGCGTTGGCTCGTCACGCCGAAGACCCGGGTTCGAATCCCCACATGGGTACAATGTGTGAAGCCCATTTCTGGTGCCCCCCGCCGTGATGTTGCTGGAATATTGCTAAAAGCGGCGTAAAACCAAACTCAGTCAGTCAGTCATATGTCCCATTAGTTGGATAAAACAAAATGACGGAATTGAGAGGTGTCCGGATTGATCTCCTTCGGTGATCGTAGAGAGGGTATTGTTCCTGATCAAACACAGCCAATGTTATTGTTGATCTTTTGAGCTAGATTGTCTATCTTTACAGCCCTGGGCCCAGATTTTCAAAGCTCTCTTAGCGCTAAGATAGTCGTAAGTTAATGTCAATGTATGGCACTTACGACTATCGTAGCGCTAAGAGAGCTTCGAAAATCTAGGCCCTGATTATTTACTCAAGGAGGGGTATTTCGCAATGGGGTCACAATGTAGGGTAAAGCTGTGAATATCTTCTCAGTGTTGTCATGCCGGGAAAACAAACGAACACAAACAGTACTTCATGCAACACAACGTTCACGCCCTTCCAGCTTGTGTATAGACGTAATATCGCCGACAGCGTCAAGACACCCCATTCGCCCACTCACACAAGTGTAACCGTAAAGGTCCGGGTTAGAATTGATCTTCAGTAACCAATGCTTGTCGTAAGAGGCGACTAATGGGATCGGGGGGTCAGGCTTGCCGACTTGGCTGACACATGTTATGGTATCCCAATTGCGTAGATCGATGCTCATGATATTGATCACTCGATTGAGTGATGCACAATCGATTATTTACATTCCGCCGCTATATACCTGAAATAATGCTGAGTGCGGCGTAAAACTAAACTCACTCACTCACTCACTCACACCGTGACCGTGAAGAACCGGAAGAGAATTCAGCAACCAAATCTGGCCCTTCAGGGCGACTAAAGGTATCGGGTGGTCAGGCCCGCTAACTTGGTTGATGCATGGCATGCCATCATGTCCCAATTCTGTAGATCAATGCTCAGAACCATGCATGGCCACAATACCCCAGGACGTGGTAACGAGTGCTGATACGCGAGGTCAGTCTGTGTCCATACAGCCACACGTGGAGGCTCCTTGAAGCAATCGGGGTGGGGGTTGGAGTCGCTTGAGGTCAGTTTGTGAAGCATAACAAACTAAACATTTGTAAGGACTGACTTCAATATATATGTGTTTATGGAGATTGATGTCAAGTTAATATATAGAATATACTCTCCACTCAAAATAAAAGATCCGGAGTTAAAATCTGATCATAATAATGACATAGCAGATTCTTAGGTCTTTTTCCACTCAACAGTAGGCACTGTTTTGATCACGACTGACTGTCTTCTGTGAGTGAGTCAGGTTTTACGCCGCTTTTAGCAATATTCCAGCATTATCACGGCGGTTAACACCACAAATGGGCTTCACATGTTGTACCCATGTGGGGAATCAAACCCGGGTCTTCAGCTTGACGAGCGGACGCTTTAACCATTAGGCTACCCCAACGCACCCTTGTCTTCTGTGAAACACCGGAGAGCCAGACAAACGGCGTGTGTAACTGACGGGAGGAAACCGCAGACCCTTTTACGATCAAAAACACCTCTCTACTCATAATCCGATTTTTGGAAGACAATAATCAAATTGAATATCTTTTGACTATCAAACAAACCCTCTGTGTGGATATAATACAATTATTTCCCTTTGTACTATCAAACACTCTCTCCTCTGTTGCTTCGTAGTATGATGGCATACAATTTCATTATTTTAATCCGAACTTCGGGTCTCTGTGATGCAATAAAGAAATGGCTGAGCGACCTTTGGAGAATTATCCAGTCAGTTAGCCAGGCATTGTCTCACTGACACTGTTGACCTATATCTCTCACTGCGGGAGTCTGCGGTCAGGTTGATGTACTCTGACAATAAGAAGTTGACCTGAGATAGGAGACCACATTTGCCTCAAAGCTTCTAGCAATGAATAGTTCACTTCCGACTGGAGACAACATTTGCCGCAAGCTTCACATTTGACAAAATTTAGTCACTTGGGGCTGAAGCATCCACGACCCTTTGCGCACACATGTAAACGGACAGACAATATATAATTTAATATCAGCAAATATCCTGAAAGTTATCCAGTTGACATTTTCACTCGTGTCTGTCCATTGCGCCATAATATCAACCATGTCATATCCCCCGATGTTGTAACCATGTTACTGGCCGAGGAAGGCAATTATTCTCTATTTACTTGAATCATAACATACGTCCTTTTCTTAAAATGTATTGACATTTGGACCATGTTGACGGAAGGGGTTATCTAAGTGAGTTATCTTGACACGTGATAAAATGGGGGAATTGGTTCCTTTCTTGAATGGAGGTTATAGAAGGTCAGTAAATTAAAATGTTTTGTAGAATAACTTCAAAGTACAATAACACGGTCTTGATCAGTTCAACAGTCACAACATTTCTGGTGTCCCCCGTCGTGATATTGCTGGAATATTGCTAAAAGAGGCGTAAAACCCAACTAACTCACTTACTCAACAGTCACGTCACTGTGTCTGTTCACAACTATCAAACAGTTTTTTGTGTATTTTTTTAATTCTTTTTATTTGTTAACTATCAAACAGTTGGTTAGGCACGGATGTCCCAGCGTCTGCGGAGAGTTGTATCATTAGGACCAGAGAAACCATAGACCGTGGGTTCGAATCCCAGATTTTCACTGATTTCTTTTCTACATTTTGCCAGCTTGGCTAAACTGGTTTTTCTCTCCCGATTAAACTAACACGCCGTCACTTAACTTAATTACCATTCAAAGTGGGATTAAACCAAAC